CAATCTACTTCTACTATATCAATATTCTTCTATTCAAAGAAAAATTAAAATAAATTACAATCCCATAATACAATAAATAAAAACTTGTAAACAAAATAGAGACAAAATTAAATTTCATTTACCTGAAAAAACAAGGATTAATGGAGATTGAAGTTGGATTTTATATTGGAGAAGAAGAGATTTTATGAAGAAGAAGAGGGTTAATGGAGGGATGGAATGAGAAGAGGGTTAATGAAGAAGAAGAGTTTTGAATGTTTGATAACAATAATGTCTGCTTTGTGGAACACGATGCAATTAAATATGTAAAGCATTTAGCGACGTGAAAATCACGCTGCAACGTTGCCACATGACTTTCGCGTCGCAACCATCCAAACAGTCATATTTTCTTTCTTCACATGCCTGCAAAAACTGATCACGCCAGTCTGTATTGATTTGATTTTTCCCTCTTAAATGTTGCGACGTGAATATCACGTCGCAACTTACTTTTTCAAATTTTCAAAAACCCATCCATCTGAACGTTAGACCAATTAAAATATTTTTTATTATATTTTTACTAACGACGTGAATCCCACGTCGCAACATTTTTTTTTCTTTTTAAAAAGTCAGACAACCATCAGACTTCTTTATTTTATTAATAAAACATGTTGTCATGTGATTATCACGTCACAACTGTCTTTTTTTAGTCACATGATAATCACGTGGCAAAAATATGTGGCTGGAGATAATATTTTTGTAGTGGTTCAAATATTGGTAGATCACACATTTTCTCGAATTTCAACTCTCTTGCGACCATAATTTTTTGTTTTCTTAGGAGAAAAGGCTCAGATTTCTTTTGCTTGCCTCCAAATTCAATAAATAACATCTGTTGATATTTGATAGGAAGAAGCCAATTATTTAAAATTTTCTTTTTTAATTTTTCCATTCAACTCGTTGATTATTATTTAAAAAACGTATTTTTTTCTAAAATGTTTGCGTCTCATCATTTCCTGTTTCATGAAATATGAAAAACATAAACGATTCTATCAACCCTTAACATTAAGAAAAAATTTTCTCAAAAAAAACATTAAGAAAATAAAATTATAGAAGCATAAAAATTAAAGAAGCATAAAAAAAAATTAATTACTCAATCCGCTACAGTAGAGTTCTCATACTAACACCAAAAAACATTAAGAAAGATGTACTCCTCTTTTGTTTCTTTAGTGAGACACATTATATAAACACTACTAGTAACACAATAAGAAACATTACTACGTAAGCTCAACACAGTATTGGCACTATATAATACTTGCATGCAATTGGAATGAAAAAGAAATGACACATCATTATGAAAAAGAAATGACACATTATAAAAGCAAAGCAAGTACTATTAATATGGCCATATCTAAAGGTGAAGTGTAGAATTCATACCTGAAAAAATATACTTTCAATCTCATTTTCATTAAGATTTCATACTGCTATCTATTTATTGCAAAATGATTTGAGCCGTTTTATCTTAGCATGCTTGTATAAAATTTGGCGAGGACAATTTTGGTATTTAGATAAGATAATGAGGACAATTTAGGTATTAAAGCATGAAAATAATTATGTGGACCAATTTTATTAAACAGTGTGAAAATTTTGAATTTATTGTTATTATTATTTATAGTAGGATTTTGTTATCTTTGATACCTATACTAATTGTTTACATTAGTAGAAGTTTTCGTGGACTCCTTTATATGTCCATGACGAAATGTATTGCTATTGAGATATTTTCAGTAATGATTGTTTTGTCTGCTTAAGTATTCAATGCTCCTTAAAGATTGACATGCATTTAATAAAGCTTTGTATATTAAGCAATTTAATTTAGCGTATAAATTGATTCTCATCACAATCATTCATTATACATTTTAATGTTTCAACACCAATGTCTTCCATTTTTACACCAATATCAATCATTATTGGCAATAAAATAAATCTCAAAATAAAAGTTCGTGTTCACGTGTGGAGTATTCTAGAATGGAACAATTTGCTTAGACTAGTTTTTTCGAACATGCTATTGGTGGATGAACAAGTATTTTAATGAGTTGTAGAATTTTGATTAATGTATATTGATTTTGGCAAGAATTGACTAAAGTCGAATTGTATGGCTACCAAGTTTGGTTGATATGTAGTCCCCTAATACCTGATCTAGAAGAACAAAGATTAGTCGATAAAATGGAGGGTTTGAAAAATTCCATCTAAATGTTGTGAATTTGTCGTTGATATTTAAATGAAGAGGTTGGGAATGCCTTCCTGAACTAGTTTGGTGTATAACTTTCACTAACAAAATGCGTTATAGTCGAGACAAATGTTTTTCAATTGTAAAACATATCAAAGTATATCTTAAAGACTTCCTTCGGTGCAGAGTTACCATCATGGCTAGCCTTAGGCCTTCGACTCTTCTCTCTAAATCAAGTGAGATGTTAGCTTTGAGGGAGAGTTTGAAGGTGGCATTAAGCCACAATTGCAAGAGTCAAAGACCATAAAATTTTCCTTAGAATCTTCCAGTGGCTTGAGGTCACGAGAGGCAATCCCCAGGGATTCACACAGGCCACCCAAAATTAATTTGCTCAAACAAACATTTCTCCTCTCTTTAAGCTGAGTAACTAGAGGGATAAACTTCTTGGCTACTTGAGAAGAACTGGAGCAAAAAATAAAGAAAGATAACCAAAGTATAAGGAAGGCTATATGTTCCTAGGCGCTTATTGGTCAGTAGAGGCATATAAAAGTATTATAACTAGGATGTGAGAAGGTGAAGTTAGGTTTGGTTTTGTTATTCAGAATGGGGTCAAAGATTTCCCATGTTGGTCGAAGTCAATAATTGTGGGGGGTAATTATTCCACATGGTAGATGAAATGTGTTGGTCGAAGACTCCCAGAAGCAAAAAGCACTGACCAACATGTGAGGGTTATATCTAGGACCAGTTCTTGAGAGTTATATCAAATCAAAGATACTCTGATCTTTCCACACTCTTTCATTCTTTTGTTGAACTCTATCCAGCCAATTGATGTAAGAAGCATTATTGACCGATTAGAACCCGAGAAAGCCAAATAGTAGTTTTTTCTTCTTGCATTGGAGATTCTAGGACATAAGTGCGACCATCTCTAAGAATGAGACCTTGGATTTTAGCAACAGAATGAACCCATGGTTGATATTTAGTAAAGGAACTGAAAGCCGCTATTGTTTCTTCAAAAATTTTGAGTAGGAAAAAAAATAAGTTTATTGAAAGAACAGAATAAAAGTTGCAGAGAGTTTAGAGAATGTTTTATGGCTCTGGAGAAGAAAAAGATAGTGAAAAGGACAAAGAAATGAGGAAATGGCGTATATAGCCACAAAGCAAAATCTTTTCAATTTCCTCTAAAGAATCTGGACAAGTGGCATCTCGAGATGGACAATTGGCATTTATGTTTTTGGGGAAAATTAAATTAAATGATTTTTGTAATATGATTTAATTTTATGATCCACGTTTGTCATAGGAAATCGGAGTCATGAAGACAATTTTCACGTACGTCATTGACGTGACAGTTTGGTGAGAAGTGGTTATGATGACTATGACGTGTGCATGCTATCTTGAACAGTGTCGAGCAACTACTAAAACGTCACTTTTTTCATCTCATGCATATGATCGAAAATGACATTTTTGGGGGGCATTTGTTAGCCTAGAAATTTTAGCTGAAGGATTCAACGGAGAATGACAGTAACCACGTTGAAAATAACTAAGTATGAAAAAATTCAGTCTTCGATACTCGAGTCACATTGATAAAAAAAGGTTTGACTAACGTGTTAGACTTGATTTAGAAGAGTCTCATGAACATATCCACAAGATTAGGATCACTCTCTCGTCAAAACATGTCTAGAATCTCAAAAAATGTTATATAAATCAATTCTTCGACAATGTGTCGAGTTTGACACGTCTATCATATGTTAGAGACTTAGTGTATTTTAGTTCAAGAGTCAACCAAACTAGGGATGTTTCAACGATACTATAGGAGGCGACCAGAGACTATCGATAAAGGTAGTTATGGGGCTTAAAGACAATTATCAGCATGATGGGAGGTTTGTAGCAGTTTATACATTGAAGACGCGTGGAAGCAAACAGGAAGTCTGAAGCATACGTAAGAGGATACATGTCAAGTTTTGTGGAGATAATCGTTGTCGAAGGTTAACACGATGTTAGTATATAAGTTGATCTCGTTGTTATGACCAGGAGTCGTAAAATTAATCAAGTATTCTCTATAAAAATAAAGTATCCAAGTCACAGAACGAAAAAGTTATAGAAAATATATGAGTCTGCGTCCTCATTTTTATTTCTTTAAGTCTCTTCTTTGAAGCATTTATTTTAATGATATTTATTATATTTTTTGTCTATTATCTTCTTCCAAAGTTTATTTCAATTAAAATTTATGTTCAGTTTGTCATTATTCAAACATTTAAGTTTCAATCATAAACATTTTTCATTATAATTTTCTATACAAATGATCTTTAAATTTTTTTTAAATTTAATCTCTTAAATAAACTAAACTCACGATTATTTATTAAAAATATCAGTAAACACACGTACATAACTTATCATCATTCTACGTGAGTTAAACTTAAATACACTCGAAACATCCTATACACCAAAGACAATTCTACAAACACATGGTTACCTTCTTTATACTTTTTAACATGAATGATCTTATATTTCAAAAAGTTAAGTACTTTATTGAGAGTCCCCCACCTTATGAACTAGTTTTACACTACTAAACATAATACACAAAATGGCTAATGATCTATCATGCATTAGCACATGGCAATTCCCTTTTTTTAATATTTTTTTCCATCTGGCTGTTAAAAGAAAGCTAGAAATTACAATATGAATCACTCACATTCAAGATTAGATGCAACAAATATGCAACATCTAATGGTATAAAGTCGTCGAATTAATTAGGGTTTATTTGAACATAGCTCCCCCATTAAGGATTAATTATTTTGTTTGAAGCTCATGATGGTGGAATGTTTGAAATTCCTTGTCTTTGTAGTTCACTCATTACGCTGTCAAGTGCTGGAGCTTTAAGTCCAAGTGGTAGCGGCAACCATGGCTTTGATAAAACGTCTCCAATAGCTGCATCTATGCTCTCATTTGACTGTAAAAGAAGTAAATAAAAACAATAATCATGTATACAAACAATGATAGAGGCCTTGAAATATTAGAGTCCTCAGAGGTGGATCCTGGATCCGTTAGCTATGATTCAACCGTGACAAAACAAATATGATAAAGAGGAAATTTACGGGATGGAAGTCGAAGAAGGGACCGGGACCGGGGGCGGCAATACTGTGATCTGCTTTGTACATACCATGTGGTGGGATGCTGGGGAGTTGACATCCAAATGATCTCTATTCATCAAAGAAAGATATCAGATTATTTTAGTTAGAGAAATGAGTGAATTATATAACGGGAATGATAATGTTTCAGTTTAATTAGGGATGTAATTAATTACCTGTTGGTGTTGAGAATGCCAAAATGAAGGGTCTTGAGGCAGTGTTGGTAGCCACGACAGCGGCTGCGGCTTCGGCCACATGTGCATAACTGACTGGTCCATTGAAGGATGTCCCCATACATGTAAGGGTTTAACATGGTGCAATGGAATCATAGACATGGAAGGAGGAGTAGGAGGATGAGGAAAAGCCATGGTGGGTGCTGCTGCAGTAGTTGGCCATGACACATGTCTTCTTTGATTCCAGTTTGCTGCTTCTGCTTCACGGGCTAACACATGTTTTCTATGGGACCTATATTTCTGCATTCATCATTAAAAAATTATGCTACACGAAACAAAATAATCATACAAAAATTGAAATTAGTAATTAGAAAATTAATAATTAAATTAGAAATACATATGAACCTGAAGGTGACTGGCAATGTTATGGCGAGTGAGACAATCAATTCCCATAGTCTCCAAAATCCTTGAAGGCACTGCCTTATCCAATCCTAGTTGTTCCACAGCTTGCACAAATCTTCTGTGCAATTCTGGTGTCCAATCCACCTAGGTACACATAAAAACCTACAAATTTAATAATAATAAAAATAGTTTTATGATTGCTCTAGCAAAAATAGCGGTGACCAGATAGCGAAAATTAGATAGAGATGGTCCTCAACGTATCTTAAAATCAGATTCGGATACCATAAGAGAATGTGTGGTTTGATCTAACACAATCTTAAAAAATGACTCATAAGTGAGGATTATAAACATATGTTCAAACTATATATTATCCAATGTAAAACTCATAAGAATTACTTTT